GAGAAGAACGAGCAAGAAACTCCATGGTTACTCTTTTTCAATCACTTTTTACAATACATTGTTACATAATTTAGATAGTTCCATTATGTGAGAACAGTGTAACACTAGTGTTTAACCAAGGTATCCGAAAAAGAAATGAACCTCAGGGACAGCAACTTTAGACAGTCTCGAGTTGACCAGTCCCAATAGGCGGCGTCCGTTCACAAACATGACACGTACACCAGCACCGCCCAACTCAACCATATTATAGGGAACCGAGCGGTCCAGTGCCCGTGCCGCCGCCAATGAGACTCCTGAGTGAGCATGACAACTCCCAACTGACACAAGTACCAATATACTATAAGTCTATAAGTCTAACTCAATTATAATAAGTTACAGGGCTCTCACACATTTACAAAAATCCAGTTTATCAACAATTAGCAACATGGTGAATAATTTAATAATTGAGATCAAAATTTTAGTTATCACTACATAGTATAAATCAAAGTCGCTTTTTCTCTTCCTATTTAGATCCCTACGTACGGTTAAATCTTTAAAACTACCTAACAGATTTTGATGCAGTTGTTTTCAATAGATGGAGTGATTGAAAAGGAAGTTTTGCATGTATAATAAACATCCATTGAATAGTGGAGAAAAGTATCAGCATCGCTCCCGCGCGAAACCGGTGTCGGTCGCAAGTACTTTAAAAAATACAAATGTCTGGTAATTCATGCCCGAAATGATCTGTTTTTTATACTGACACCAGAAACATAGCAAATGTAATAAACATTGACATGTAGCACATCTTACTAAAACGGGACTGTCTACAAAACCTTACAACGGATACACACCCTACTCAATCTAAATATACAAGTGGAAGCGACTGCTATGCATCACTCGGCATTGAACCCGCTACCGTGGGTTCATCCGATCAGTTATCACTTGACCATTATTGTAGAATCGCAGTACTGCGGCCGCCGGAAGAAATACTTAGTAAGTTTAATCATCAATATTTGTTTGAACACCCTGTATTAGTACTGGATGCGCCACTTAGTACAAATATGACTGTGTAAGAGTTATTATGTCTGTAGTTTCTAAGATCATTTAGCTACCATCATCATTGATATCATCATCATCAGCCTTACAGTGCTTACTGCTGAGCCAAGCACGTCGATTCTATAAAATTTGTTTGATTTTGAATCGTGTTCGAGTGCGAAGTGAGCGTCGAAATGACAGGTAAATTAAATTTTAGAATGCCATTTTTAACATCATCTCATACTCTATCTTTCAAAATAATGCTGTCAATTTAGTTCAACTCGCAAGTGTAGCGCTAGTGTACTACTACCCACAGCGGATTCAGATTCGAAGTTTAGAATGAAGTCTTACAGAATCACACCCAAGGCGGAGGCGGAGATGGTGTAGGAGAGCCATGCTGTAGCACGAATAGGCCGGCTTGACCGGAGTTATATCACGGCCTCACAGAATTCCGGCGTGGAGCAACACTTACATTGTGTTTCGCCGTGTGAATGAGGTTACCGGAGGCCCAATCCTTTGTCCTCTCCCCCCATCATCAATCCTTCAATCCTTTAGCCACAAAAGACGGGCAACGCATTTTTATTAACTCCTTTAGTACGAGTGTCCTTGGACGGTGCCGATTACTTACCATCAGGTAATCCGTCGTGGATGTCGTGGTCGTGGTGGCCCGGAGGTTAAGGAGCCCGCTTCTTGTGCATGAGGGTGTGGGTTCGAAACCTGGCAAGTACCAATGTGACTTTTTCCGAGTTATACGTACTTTCTATGGTTATTTAGACACCACTGATATACGGTGAAGGTAAACATCGTGAGGAAACCTGGACTTATAATTTCTAATTGTAAGTCTGAAATCGCCAACTCGCATTGAGCAAGCGAGGTGATTAATGCTCTAAACTTCTCCGTTTGTGAAGAGGCCTTTGTTCAGCCGGGGCACTTATAGTCTGATGATGATGATGATGATGAAAAGGTAATCCGTCTGCTCGTTTGCCGACAAACGAAACGAAGCTTTACGCACCTCCTATCGAGAAAATAATGATCAGAAAATATATCTAACTAACTACTCTCGCGCGGTTTCACCCGCTGCTTGGCTCCATTTAATCGTAGCGTGACGTTTTATAGCCTTTAGCACCCAGGAACATTGTAGCTATCTATCAGTGAAAGAATTTTGGCAATCCGACCAGCGGTTCCAAAGATTACCCCCTACATACAAACTTACATAATTTACCTCTTTATAATATTAAGTATACTTAGATTAGCGACCTGCGCCAGCATCGCTGCTGATACTTTTCTCCACTATTTAATGGATGTTTCTATACATTAAACCTCCCTATTCAATCACTCTATTTACCAAAACCACATCAAAAATCGATTGCGTAGTTTTAGAGATTTAAGCATACACAGGGATATAGGGACAGAGAAAGCGACTTTGTTTTATTCTGTGTAGTGATTAGTAATTGGACTGACTTTAATAAAAAAATGTATTAAACTAGGCCATTCATAATATTAAAAAAGAAAAAATATATTTCCTTTCATACATACATACATTTAACCATAAAGTTAAAACCACAGTTAAATATAACCGTTGCAGATGTGTTTACGCTAACTGTTAGCGTGAACATTTGTTCTAATTCTAAGTACGACCGCTTTTACTGCCTTTGATGTTAATCCCGTGTTATTGTTATATTTAAACCAATAAATTAACTGGCTTCAGTTCTGTAGTTAAAAACGTGATAGGTCTTAGTTTTTCAATCCTATTACATATTATCAAAAGCTACCTGAAACTCCACTGGCAGAATAATCCAGAAGAAGAGGTAGTCGAGGCCCACTTAAATATTTTTTTTAAAAAAAACGTTGCCCCTACCCTGGATTTTTTTTTTAAAAAAAACGTTGGATTTTCAAGAACACTTGGATTTTCTCTTGTGTCGTGGGTGCGGTTACCAACATAAAACTTCGCATACACATGACACCCAAACCCGGAACAACAATTTGTGGATCACACAAAGACTTTTGTTCCGTGTTAGAATCGAACTCGCGACACGTGGCACTTGCACGGTAGCCAGTTGCCCAGCTACCGCACCAACCGTGCAGTCAGTATATGTCATTTACAAAAGAGACATTTGCCACAATATCCATAGCTTTTTAAGGGGTAAACATTATCAAATGACTTCTCCCGCAGTGGGTAAGGCGAGAGAGAGTGTCAGACTCTTACTGACTAAAAACCCCCCGTTCCTTCTCCTGCTATGACTCTTAGCACTCTGCGATAGGTAATTTCATTACGTCCACTAGTGGGAGGCGATTTGGTTATTCAAGTTTAAAAGGTTCAGGTTTATAAGTCAACAGAGGAAAATATGTTGCTCTAGATGCTCGCGTTGCTTGCCATTTTGAATTTTGAAGATTATTGATAAAAGGGGAAAGGGATTTGGCTTCAGGTAGCCTTACTAACACATAACAGATAAAAGAAGCGTTACTTCGTGCCTGTTTTCTGTGATGCCGTTGTATCACTCCAGTTTAAGCATAGCCCTCCTACACTAGCCGGAGTTGCGGGGTAAGCGCAATGTAAAACCGCGGCCTCGGCCTAAAACAGGAGAAGGAACGGGGGGGTTTTCAAGTCAGTAAGGGTCTGATACTCTCTCTCGTCTTACCCTGGGCGGGAGAAGTCATTTGATGATGGGTTTGACAAAAAAAACCCTCCTACACTTCACCTTTTGTCACCTGGACGGATAGGTGATCCCATAATTCCTAATAAAAGGATTTGCTTTATAAAATGAACATAACTTAATTCTTTGTTTTTTTTTTCTTTTTATTACAGATGTTGTACATCATTCCGCTCATAGAATACGCAGCCACAGGGTAAACAGACGACATCGGGCTGTCAATGGTAAATATATAAATAATACTTCCTTATACATATAGTTAAAATTAGGAGAGCCATGCTTCGGCCCGAACGGGTCGACTCGACCGGAGTGGTAACACGGCCTCACAGAAAACCGACGTGAAACAACCACAGCGTTGTGTTTAGCCGTGTGAGTGAGGTTACCGGAGATCCAATCCATCCCGTTCCCCAATCTTCCCTAAATCTCCGAAATCCTTATCCCCAAAAGGCTGGCAACACACTCGCAAGTCCTCTGGTCTTGCGGGATGTCCATGCTCGATAATCCGAAGCTTTTTTACCGTCTTATCACCTAAAAATAATACTTTTTTATTGTTTATTAAACAGTCTCATTTTTTTCCTTTGTTATTTCTTTCCCAATTATTAATAACTAGTTACTTCCCTGTGGTTTCAACCGCTGCTTTGTTCCTATTTGTTTCAATAATTGTTCATCTCGAACGCAGTTCTGGGGCTTTATAATATTAGTATCGATTTTATTGCAACTATATTTAAAATAAATGTTAAATAGTTAGGTACAGGTTCATAAATTAAGCTTTTTACTTTTTTAAAGGCGAACGAGGCAAAAATAATCTCTGATTCGATTTTTTAAATAAAAGTTATTTTAAATTTAAGACACATTTCTGCCTTATCTACGAACATAAACCAATGTCAAGTCAAGTTACGCCTGCTCGAATCAGACCTGAACTTTATTTTCATTAGCTGTAGACGTTAGAAAAACAATAATAAATTCGTAAACACTTCTTTAATTACGATTTATTACTGCCGAAGGACAATGTCGAGCCGTACAAGGACGCCCTACATCGGAGAAGGGCAAATATTGACCTTAGCTCAAGCTTATGCCCTTCAAAAAGGCCAACCCAACTAGTTCCAAACGGGATAACTACGTAAAACTAGTCAGATAATGTTTTAAGTTAGAATTATTTACTGCAATTGTGGGTGCAAAACATATACATCTCTTGTTTACTAGATAAAAACTGCAATGAAAATAACAATATTATTACTCGCAGACCACAAAAGACAACTTTGTAGACACTCGTGCCATCTATGGACAAGTTCAGCCAACAAGTTTAATTTTAACACTAACAGATGGCGCTGTAATATGCTTGAACTAACTTGGTACGTCTACTCCCCGACAGATGGCGAGCTGCGTTTTGAACCGGAGCCCTACAGCAAGAAGTTGGAATTAAATTCTTCTGGGAAAATACATTGTAAAGTCGCTGGTGGTGTTGCTCCAACAGTGCAATGGTTTTTGGTGAGTTTTTAAAGTTAACCTCAATTCTATAACTAAGATGTTTTGTTCAGCAACTTGCCCTGTATACATATGAACCAGTTATTTAGTCTATCTGTTTAGGTAATTAACTAAATGTAAACAATCCTGGCATGTCTTAATGTGTTGGCTTAAAATTGTGTATAAAACTGGTTACGATCAGATATTTGGCTAAATCAATCTTACCTCTTAAATTAAATTTAAAATAATCTATTTATGTATTTTACACGACCTTTAATATAAAAAGACAATAGCAAAATTGTTTACCTTTAGTTAACCATCTAAACCGATAAACCATAGCTATTATAAAATTTACATCTTAAAGTAATACAACATTCATCAAAATATATAAAAAAATTCTGAGATAGGTACTAAATTATACTTTATCTATAACACACTTAAAATTCAAATCTTGTAGCCTTTTGAAACGCAAAAATCTGTTATATTTTATAATTCTTAAAACCTAATAAATGAACTCAATATCAATATCTAACAAGAAACCTGACCCTATAACCTCAATGTTTTCAGAACGACGAGGAACCGCTACCAGAGGGCGTGACATCTGCAAATGGCACCCTGATGGTAGCTGATGCGGAGAGGCGTCACTCTGGACAGTACACCTGCAAGGCCGTCGATGGAGAACGTTCCATCACTGCTAAGATCAGTCTTGATGTTGTTGGTAAGATCATTACCTAAATAAATTTAGGGTCCCGGCATGGCTCGAAACTAGTCAGACATCCCCGAAACAAGAAACAAAGAAAGAAGAAAGAAATGTGTATATATACAGTGCAGAAAACCACATATTAAACAAAATTATTAAACAATAATTAAGAAAATAAAAAAACACTGTCTGCGTGCCTGGCGGCTGCGCCAAATAGGTACAGTTTAGCAAAAAATGTTGCCTGACGCTGGTTTTCAAAGAAACCCTAAAAATACGTGATTTACGTACGATAATACCTTAATATATTTTTCCGTTCATAAATTGGAAAACAGTTACAACTTAAATAAACATTGTATTCCAGTGACCCCTCGGATCCTGGAGCCGAGCCCCGACCAGCAGATGCACGTCACGGTGGGTCAGACGGCCGTGCTGAACTGCGTGGCCACCGGGGACCCGCCCCCCACCACACACTGGGACAGAAACCTCGCCATATTGGGGAAACAACGTAAGTAAACAACACTCACACATCATTTTTTCCATCATTAGCCTATTAAGTGCCCACTGCTGAGTAAAGGCCTCTTCTCACACGGAGAAGGTTAGAGCATTAATCACTGAGCTTGCTCATTGCGGGTTGGCGATTTCAATCATAGAAAGTTCATTACGCATAACTCGGAAAAAGTCACATTGATACTTTCTAGGTTTCGAACCCTCATGCATGAGAAGCGGGCTCCTTAACCTAAGGGCCACCACGACCTTAATCGTCAAAATAAATTTGTCATCGAAAATCATTCAAATGAGTTCTCTCGCTCAGGGTATAATTCAAAATCATTTATTTCAATTAGACCCTTACAGGCACTTTTGAACGTCAAACATAATATTAAAAATATAAAGTGTCAGTCTGTCGGTCAGTCCTCTTAGTGAAGCTATTTGCTCGTTCCAAAGTGTAGATTCCGATGGAGAAGAACGAGCAAGAAACTCCATGATAACTTTTTTAAATCAGTTGCATATAAACTTCTTGGTTCTCGTCCCGCCCAAGAGAGAAGTCATTTGATGAGTATCCCCATCAAAAAAAGTATACATTTCAATTGTAACTATTACAAATATAATCTTTATTTTCGTACCTATATAACAAACTAGCTACTCTCACGCGGTTTCAGCCACTGCTCGGCTCCTTTTAATCGTAGCGTGATGTTTTATAGCCGCACTCAGGAACATTGTAGCTATCTATCAGTTAAAGAATTTTGGCAATCCGACCAGCGGTTCCAAAGATTACCCCCTACATACAAACTTACAAATTTTACCTCTTTAGAATATTAGTATAGATAATTGTGCTTATTGTATTGTTGTAGTCGACAGCAACTAACCTATAATCTACTAGGTAATATCAAAAATGCCTTATTATATACTAGCGACCCGCCCCAATTTCGCACGGATGAAATACTGATACTAAATTTCTTTATATATTTAATGGATGTTATCATGCAAATACACCATTCTTATCACTATATCTATCTAATAAAACTTTATCAAAATCCGTTGCTTTCTTTTAAAGATTTAAGCAGACATAGGAATATAGGGACAGAGAAAGCGACTTTGTTTTATACTATGTAGTGATTGAAGATTTATAAACAGTTACAAACTTCGCATTTTTTCCGCAGTAGATGGTGGCGTGGAGGTTGAAGATGGCGTCAACGCTACGTTAGCAAGGTAACACTTAAACTATTTTTTTATTTAATAGTTCGGCAAAAGATCAGACTTATATGGTAAGCAACCAGTGCCGCCCATGGACAACAACAGATGAGTTACGAGTGCGTTGCCAACCTTTTGGGGATTTAGGGATTGGGGAGGGGAAGGATTGGGTCTCCAGTAACCTCACTCACACGGCGAAACACAACGCTGTGGTTGTTTAACGTCGGTTTTCTGTGAGGTCGTGGTATCACTCCGGTCGAGTCGACTAGTGATGTCACGAATGTTGATTTTTTTACATTCGCGAATGCGAATGCGAATACGAATATTTATCTTCAACATTCGCGAATGCGAATGCGAATATTTTAAAATTTCAAAAAAGGGCGCGTAAAGTGTTTGACAGCCTTGACGCTTCGTGTCGGCAATGTTTAAATTGAACATAGTCGAGCGGGCATTGGTTAATTGAATGAATTTAGTCACAGAAAGTAAATATATTTAATTCCTCAGATATATTTATAAAGTGGAATGTAAAAATATACATTTAAAGTCAAAGGTTATAAATACTTAATACATAAAGTAAAAAATAGTTTATTTGTGACAGACAATTAAACTATTATTTATATTATTATTTTTTTACATTTGATATTTAAGTTTAATAATTTTGTTACAAGTATATAGAAATTGTATACTTTATTTAAAAATAGTAGTAAAGTAATAATGTACTACTAAATGAATGCAAACCTTACATAGTACAACTAACTAACAAGGTTGATTAATGTTAGATTTGATCAGATCTCAAGAAGTTATTTTCCCATAAATGAGTTTTTTTAGAATGTAGAAGTATGATTTATTAAAAATATCTAAGAGTGATCTATCGTATTATTATTTCATATACATGCATATAATAATTTCCTTTTTGATTATCAAAAACATTCGCTAAATATTCGCATAATTTTTGTGATTGCGATTGCGAATCCGAATATTGAAAAATATGCGGATATTCGCGAATGCGAATGCGAATGAGAATATTCGTTACATCACTAGAGTCGACCCATTCGTGCCGAAGCTTGGCCTTCCCACATTTGTTTCCAGTTTTCCATAAATTTCAATTTTTGTTTTATATGTTTATAGACTCGTGTTAATGAAGAATGGATCCTTGATAATCCGGAACGTATCGTCTCCGGACGCGGACCGGTACGGCTGCACGGCCGGCAGCGCAGCCGGATTGGCGAGGAATGAACTACAACTTGTTGTACATCAAGGTATGTGATTATTTATAATTTAAGCTCGAAAGCATTCGAGGTACACTGTAATTGTTCATATAAATGTTGTAGCTTTATTTGTAATAATTAAATGAATGTTAGGAACGTTCGGAGCAGACGGATTACCTGGTGGTAAGCAATAAACGCTGCCTATGAGCACCCGTAACAACGGAGGAGTTACGAGAGCGTTGCCAACCTTTTGGAGATTAAGGGATTGGGGAAGGGGAAGGATTGGGCCTCCGGCAAAACACAACTTTGTGGTTGTTTCACGCCGGTTTAATAGGTGCCTTTGACTTATTATGTTTCGTAGTTAGTACTTTGCTATCCTTTTGGGGATTCGAGTTCTGGAGATTTGGTATTGGGGAAGGATTGGGCCTTCGATAACCTCATTCTTACTGCAAAACCCAACGTAACAGTAGCTACACGCCGGTTGATGTCATGGTATCACTTCGGTCGAGCTGCTTCGGAACGAATACCCATTCTCATGGCTCTCCCACACTTGAAATAAAAATAAAAATTGTGTACAATCCTCTTACAGAAGGGGAAATGCCCCCCCAAGAGTCAAGTGGAGTAGCAGGGAAGGCGGTTGTAGTGTCTATATCAGTGGCTGGCGCATACATGGTGCTTGTGCTCGCGCTAATGGTCTACTGCCGGAGACGGAGGCTCAGGAGACGGCAGAGGGGTGAGTAGAATATACTGAATATTGATATACATTCGTGAAAATATATAAATATTATCTACTCTCTCGCGGTTTTACCCGCTGCTCGGCTCCATTTGATCGTAGCGTGATGTTTTATAGCCTATAGCACTCAGGAACACTGCAGCTATTTATCAGTAAAGGATTTTTGGCAATCCAACAAGCGGTTCTAAAGATTAGCCCCTTCATACAAACTTTAAAATTTTACCTCTTTATAATATTAGTATAGATATCTGTGCCAAATTCCCTTTAAATCCATTCGGAAGGTTTTACGTGAAAGAGGTACAAATATTGATACATTTATCCATCCACCCATCCATTTATCCATACCAATTATTTTCTGTTTATAATACATTGGTAAGATTACTGTGAGTCGCTTATTAGCAATTTTTTGTTTAACAATGTACACTTACTTTTACAGGAGAAAAAATGGAGTTAGAGATGACAGAGGGAAGGGAGAAGTTGGTAGAAGATGGTGAAGAAGAGAAACAGAAGGTCAACGGCGCCGCCTTACAGAACGGCAGACTGTTGGCTCATGACAAGGATAGCGGTATGTTACTGACTCTTTCTGTACCACCCATTTTTTTTCTTTTTGATGTTGTTACAATGTAACCTAAATCATTTCGTAGAAATGGGTAGTTTCCTAGATCAAAAATAAATTAATTTGACTTTTCAATACAATAAAATATTGAAAAATAACTATACTTTTATTCATCGATCGATCGATCGGCACACAAAATTTTTGATATTTTAGCTAATTTTTACCCGACAACGGCAACGCAAAAGGAGGGTTATGATTTTGACAGGCTATTTAAGCAATAAGTAAACTTTTTGATGGAAAAATACTATGACGTCGTAACTCAGTGTTTCATACAAATTTCATAGAAAAGTATCGTTTCTGACATTTGGAAAAAAGTATTGAATTTGACTAGTTGGAAACTACCGTGTTGTAGTCGTAAAAATCGGGATTGCGGGTGGAAGCGCAGTTTTGTTCACCAACCCGGCCCGAAGCAAAAGGGGCGTGGTCAGTAAGAGTCTGACACTCCCTCTCAACTCACACAGGATTGGAGAACTCATTTGATGGTATTCCCTTCTTAAGAAAACAAAAAGTAGTCGTAAAACGTCATGACTTCCATTTTATGCCCTACAAAAAATCTACACAAAACTCCAAAAATACACGACCCTAATTTAAATTCCTTAACAAATTCATTCATTATTCTTTTATCTCTGTATGAATAAATTAATATTTATATTAATATAAATATGTAGGTGCAGATAACTCGGAAGTGTCTGGCGTGTCGCGCGCCTCGAAGAAGTCTGGCCAGTTCGAGCATCTGTCGGTGCCGCGCACTCTGCTCACTGAACAGATCACATTGGGTAAGTCACTTTATTATAATACAAATAAAAAATATAGACAAGTACTATCTGTCTCTATTCAAAATTCTTATTGAAGGATATAGTGTAGAATTATGTCATATGAATGTCTTAATATTTTCCGCACCCCACCTAACCCTCTAACCCTATAACCCCCTCACCTATTTACTCCTTCACCCCTTCACTCCTTAACCACCTAACCCCCTAACCCCGTAGGCCCTCCACCCCCATACCCCCTCACCCTCTAACTCCCTGATCACCTAAACCCTCACCCCCTAACCACCTGATCCCCTCACCCCCTAAGTGCCTCTAACCCCGTAACAACCCTAACCCCCTAACTCCGTAACAACCCTAACCCCCTAACCCCATTACCCCCTCACCTCTTTACTCCTTAACCACCTAACCCTCTAACCCGGTGACCCTTTACCCTATCACCCCATACCCTTTCACCCCCTATCTCCATAATCACCTGAACCCTCACCCACTAACCACCTGACCCCCTCACCCCCTAAGTGCCTCTCAACCCCGTAACAACCCTCACCCCCTAACCCCATAACACCCCCTTCACTCCTTAACCACCTAACCCCCTAACCCCGTTGCCTCTCACCCTCCAACCCCTTACTCCATAACCCCGTAACCCCCTAACCCGGTCGCCCCTGACCTCGTAACCTTCTAATTACCTAACCCCCCTCAATCCCTCACTCCCCAAACCTGTAACGCCCACACCACGAGCAGGCTGGCTCACCTAGCGTGTTGGGCTGACTCAGCAGAGCCGTCGATAAAAATGTTATGTAAATTAGATTGTATTATTGTACATATTTAAATGTAACATGTAATTTCTTCTATAAAATACTATAGTTATGTGGTTAGTTGTAGTATGTAAAATACGTATTATTTACTGGATATTGTTTGGCAACGGCACGGACCCCGAGTCCGTGGAGATTGTAAATGATCAGTTATAACCCCCATACCACCTATCTCCGTAAACATCTCACCTCCTCACATCCTAACAGTTAGGGGGTGAGGTGTTTACGAGGGCATAGGCCACGCCCCCTCGCCCCATAATTCTCTTACCCGTTAATCTCCTAACCACTTCAGCCCTTCACCCTTTCATCTTTCACCGTTTAAAATAATAATGAAGATAAAATCAAACTAAACTAGCTTTCCACCAGCCTGGCTTAGCCCCGTGTCCGTAGGTTCCAATCTTGGAGAACTATCCCAAGTTATATGTATGTATATAAATATGAGTTTCACGCCAGTATTCTGCGAGGCCGTAGTATAACTCCGGTGTAACCCGAGCACGAAAAACAACAAGTCAAAAGCACCGATTAAACAGGCGTGAAACAACCACAGCGTTGTGTTTCTTTCGCCGTGTGAGTGAGGTTACCGGAACCCCAATCCCTGAATCTCTAAATCCCTAATCCCCAAAAGCTTGCAACACACTCGGAACTCCTATGTATGCCGACCGATCACATAATAAAAAATATATATTGAGTAATATTTAATTTTTATCTCAATTTCTAATACTAACTAACACGTATTCCAATTACCAGGTCGTGGTGAGTTCGGGGAAGTGATGCTGGCTAAGATAGACATGTTCCAACTCAACAAACTGCGCAATAAAGAGAGCCTGGAGTCTGAGGGCGAGCCCAAACTCCGGCCCGTACTGGTCAAGGCACTCACTGCTAAGGATGAGGTAATCCACTACCTATTCTTTTGTTTTATTTTATAAATAAATAAGTAATTAAAACGCCTTATGGTTTTTAATAGCAAATCTTATTCCGTACACTTATGGCCAGTAATCTGACTAAAGGTTTAGTGAAACTTTTTTCGTCTAGTGTGTTGTAATGACAAGTTCTTCATGTGTTTTATTTATTGCATTTTAATGTAACAATATTCAGGAATGTAAAACACCAAAAATCATTGGTGTACATTGAATTAAATAAGTATGCTAACGCCCATACAGAAATATTGTATTTTCCAACTAGTCAGATTCAATACTTTTATCCAAATGGCAAAAACTATACATTTCTATGAAATTTGTATGAAAAACTGAGTTATTTATTAGGTCATAGTATTAAATAGCTTACTTATTTCTTATAAGTAAAAAATATCTAAATTTAATTCAAATAGCTTACTTATTTCTTAAAAATTAGCTAAAAATATGTAAAATTCAGTATATCGATCAATCGATGAATAAAAGTATAGTTATTTTCCAATATTTTATTGTATTGAAATGTCAAATTAATTTATTTTTGACCTAGGAAACTGCCCAATTGGCCATGTACTTTATATATAAAACCCCTTTTTCCTTCATCCTTTAGGTACATTTAGCTGAATTCCGTCGCCAACTGGAGTTGTTCTCCCGGGTGAGGCACGAGAACATTGTGCGACTGCTGGGACTCTGCAACGAGGCAGACCCTCACTATATGCTGCTAGAACATACAGACTGGGTATGTATTATCGAGATTTTTTATGTGATTGGACTGGAAACTAGCAGACACGAGGAGTTACGAGTGTACTGCCGACCTTTTGGGGATTAGGGATTTCGAGATTTTGGGATTGGGGGAGGGAAAGGATTGGGCCTCCGGTAACCTCTCTCACATGGTGAAACACAACGCTGTGGTTGATTCACGCCGGTTTTTTGTGAGGCCGTGGTATCACTCCGGTCGAGCCGACCCATTCGTGCCGAAGCTTGACTCTCCCACACACTATTGAGATATGCTTTTGTTTTGAAATTTATTTTAATAATTTTAGCTATATGTGTAAGGACACTGATAATATGAAATAATGCTCTCATATCATTTTCTTAATCTGGTGGATCGACAAACTAGTATAAAGATCATCTGACAGGGTAAGCAAAAAGCGCCTTCCATTAACACTCGCAATGTCAAAAGAGCTACAATTATATTGTTCATCATCATCATCATCAGCCTATAAGTGCCCACTGCTGAGCAAAGGCCTCTTCTCACACGGAGAAGGTTAGAGCATTAATCACCACGCTTGCTCAATGCGGGTTGGTGATTTCAAACTTATAATTAGAAATTATAAGTCCAGGTTTCCTCACGATTTTTACCTTCACCGTATGTCAGTGGTGTCTAAATAATCATAGAAAGTACTATATAACTCGGAAAAAGTCACATTGGTACTTGCCAGGTTTCGAACCCGCACTCTCATGCATGAGAAGCGGGCGCCTTAACCTCCGGGCCACCACGACACACATTATATTGTTACGGAAAAGTAAAAATAATACAACAAAATTTTATACAGATACTTTTGGATCATTAAAATCAAATTTTAGTTGGGCAGTCTGATCGTCAATGAAGTTAGGTACTCGTTCCAAAATTTACATACGGACTTGGAAAGGATTGGAATAGCTTGCCTGCAACGGTTTTCCCAACCAGTTATGATTGAGATGTCTTCAAGGCTAGAGCTCAATAGGCTTTTAATAAATAGTGCTCTTACCATCAACGATTGCATCACTGCTTACTATCACGGGGGATTGCAGTTAAGCACTAGAAAAAAAAAAGAAAAAAAGAAAAAACTTTCTTTTCCATCTCGCATTTGAATAAATATAAACAATCTCATTTTTTATCTTGTAGGGAGAGCTAAAGAAGTTCCTGATAGCGACGCGGTCCCCGGAGGAGAACGCGGAGTACGTGTCCCGCGTGGGGGCTGCGCACGCGCCCCCCGCGCCGTCCCGCGCCTGTCCCCCGCTGGGGGCGCAGCACCGCGCGCTGCTGGCCGCCGCGCTGGCCGCCGCACTCGCCAAGTGCGCCGCGCACAGGTTCACGCACCGGTATGTACCTCCTCCACATCATCCTCACCCTATACCTATCCCACTACGCATTTTACTAGTGTTGACGTCAACGTCGCGTTGGCGCAGCGTCGACGCCGCGCTGACGCGATGTCACGTGTCAAGCATTCACCTTTGTTGGCAACAAGAACTACATTTGATAGAACAGGACGGCGTGATTATACCTGTTGCCAATAAACGCGACGTAAACGCTACGTAGACGCGACGTTGACGCTGTGTCGTCGTTCAAAAGACAGCGACGTTCGTGAAACGCCAATGGGATAGCAGCCTAACCTTCCACTGCTTGGCTTATAACTATCGTGAGATATATTAATTAGTTAATTCTTAGGTTCACGAAAATACTCGACAAGGTCAATCGGGAATTTTTTAGCCTCATATCATGAAGTCAGTCGTAACTTGAAACTAGTTGAGTTACCTGTGTCTAAGCTGTATAAAACGACGGCGAAATAAAACATAGTAAGAAAACCTGAGCACATATTTTTTTATTAAAAGTTTCAAATCGCCTTGGTGATTTATATTAAAAACTTCTCTCTATGAGAAGAGGCCTTTGCTCAGCAATAGACACTTATAGGCTGATAATGATCACTATATGTTTGAACTAGACATAATAATACTGACTTGAAATATTTCGTCCCACAGCGACATAGCTGCCAGAAACTGCCTGATAACATCGAAATTACAGCTGAAGCTATCATACCCAGCTCTGACGCGGGGACCTGACTCACACGAGTACTTCAAACTGCATGAACAGGTCACTATTTTTAATTAAAACTTTATCCCAAGCTAGGATTTTGCCCCTATGTCGTTTTTTTTTATGGAATAGGCCGGCAAACGAGCTTACGGATTACCTGATGGTGAGCAATGAACGTCGCCGATGGACACCAAAGAAGTTGTGAGTGTGTTGCCGGCCTTTTAGTGACAAAGGTTTCGGATATTCGGATTGGGCGTTTGGTAACCTCACTCACACGACGAAACATAACGCTGTGGTTGTTTCACGCCGGTTTTCTGTGAGGCCGTGGTATCACTCCGGTCGAGCCGACCCATTTGTGCCGAAGCATGGCTCTCCCACACTTGAAGAGATATAATAATATTATTTTCCGGTTTGCAGGTGATCCCGTTGCGCTGGTTGCCCCCAGAGGCGGTGCTAGAGAGCGACTACTCCACAAAATCCGACGTCTACATGTTCGCGGCGACCGTTTGGGAGGTAAAGAAAATATTATTCAATCCAATCTCAATCCCTGCTGCACTGCACGGTTGGCGCGGTGGCTGGGCAACTGGCTGCCGCGCAACGTGTCGCGGTTTCGATTCCCGCACGGAACAATATTGTTGTTCCGGGTCTGGGTGTGATGTGTATGTGAAATTGTATGTTTGTAAACGCACCCACGACACAGGAGAAAATGCTAAAGTGGGGCAATGTATTTATAAAAAAATACTATTCGAAAGGAATCACCGACATTGAGTAACACAAATCCCTGCCGAGGGGATATTTTACTAAGGTTGGGAAGGGATAGGGGAGTCCTCATTCCTTCCCGATCCTTAATAGAGTTAGAAATTGTCAGTCTGTCGGTTTGTCCTCTAGTAAAGCTATTTGCTCGTTTCAGTGTTAATTTCTATTGAGAAGAACGAGCAAGAAACTCCATGGTTACTCTTTTCACAATTATTCCTTCACTTTCCCAATTCATTTCTTTGTGTTACATTTATATGATATACTAGCTACTCTCCTGGCTTCACCCGCTGCTCAGCTCCATTTGATCGTAACGTAATGTTTTATAGCCTATTATACCACTCAGGAACATTGTGGCTTCATCAGTGAAAGTTTCTAGTAAAACTTCATAGCATTAGTGAAAGAATTTTGGCAATCCGACCAGCAGTTCCAAAGATTACCCCCTACATACAAACTAACAAATTTTACTTTTTATAATATTAGCATAGTATTGATATGTATAAAATATATTTTCAGATTTATACCAAAGGAGAGTTGCCATTCGCAAAGTTGAACGACAACTCGGTGTTGGAGCGTGTGAAGGCAGGCACTCTCGAGTGGACGATCCCGAATTCTATGCCCGAGCCGTTAGCCGTACTACTTGTAAGTAAAATTAACATTGTTTTTAAATACAACAGCTTAGATTTTTTTAATAGAATAGGTCGGCAAACGAGCAGACCGATTACCTGATGGTAAGTAATCAGCGCCGCCCATGGGTAGGCGCAACGGAGTAATTACGAGTGCGTTGCCTACCTTTTAGGGATTAGGGTTGCGCAAGCGCAATGAGGCACCGCGACCTCGGCCCCCCTTAAATACCCTTAATAAGTTTTTTCTCTAATCACCAGAAACGTTGCTGGAGCAAATCCCCATCAGATCGGCCCCAGTTCACGGAGATATATGAAGAAATCACCACCATACTCCAAGATATCACTTCGGAAACCACATCACAGAAATCACAAGATAAGGCTGAAGAATAGACTCTAGCGCTGTAAACATAAGGTGCAGTTTCATTTGACTGTTTATTGAAGTTTTTTGAATTTCGACTTTATTTTTATTGGGGAAAAGTTTATTTTTAAATTACTTTACTGAAGTCACAGGACAAGGATGAAAATTTAACTTTTATTGGTTTTTAAATGAGTTCAAGTCTCGACAATTTTGACTAGATTTTTTTTAATAATATTATGTGCTTTGCTATTTGTGACTATATTTCTTATGACGTAAGGTTCATTTTTTTTACAATACATCGATCAAAGTGGACAACAGATATGTAGGACGTAATTTATGATTTTGACCTTTAAACTATAGTAATAAGGTTCAAAATTGTTTAAAGGTAAAATTTATGTTTAAAATCGTGAAAAAGAAGTTAGCAGGTCTAACAAAACATCACAAATATATACATTTCTCTTGACCTCGACATCTTGAGACACTTGATATAAATGGTATTCAAAAATGAACTAAGACTGTAATACGTAAGGTATATTTTAGCTCGCACACACCTATCTTGTATAAAAAAACAACTAAGTCGTATAAATGTACTTTAAAATCAATTTCATAAAGTCTAATTTACTTCGATAACTAAAAATTTGGGACATTGCAATGAAAAAAATAATAAAAACGTTTAAATATAAGCCTAAAGGTTGATAACTATAAGGTTTAATTTAGATTGCTCTAGTTAAGATAAATCCTTTATAAAAATTAAGCATACTAGATCTGCTATCACTGTCTAACACAATACATAAGAAAGAGACAAAATATCTAAGCTAAAGCAGTCTGAAATAAGTTTTATTGAAATGTCAACCTTATGCCGTATGTGTTAAGGTATTAATTTAATAGTCTAGTGTAAGTAAGTTAAGTATATAGCCATTTCGATGCATTTATTAATATTTCGTATTTAAGTTAAGTTAGACGTAGTTTTAGGTCTTAAATAGATTTTAGTTGTTTTTTTATGTGTACAATGTGATTTCTTAGACTTGATTTTAAATCTATTTTATCTATCTTTTGCAACAATAAGTCAAAGTCAAAATCAAAATCATTTCGTTAATCTTTATTTCACTCAGACCCTTACAGGCACTTTTGAATGTCAAACAACATTTTAAAGATATAAAGTCAGTCAATCAGTCTAAAGCGAAATGAAATGAAATTCAGTCAAATTAAATTATGTAATACAGAATTTTCCAACTAGTCAATTTTAATACTTTTATTTAAATACTAGCAGTTCGTACATCGCACGGATCGCTAACACAGGTCGCGGTCAGTCTACTTTCGACCACCTCTATTTAAATAATTATTTTTCGCGAAAGTCTAAAAGTTATTTTGGATGTTTGTTATTCAATCACGCCGAAACGGCTGAACGGATTTTGATGAAATTTGGCACAGGCATAGAATACACTCCGGAATAGGACATAGGCTACTTTTTATCAACATACCACTCTGTCGATGCCGCGGGCGAAAGCTACTAAGTTTATTAAAATCACACTGTACATATAAAAATACATAATTAATACATAAGTTTTGTCTATATGGAAAATAACTGAAGCTAAATGATACTGCCATTTGTAAATAGAATTAGAAATTAAGACTGAAATGTATAGTTAGCGTTATAATTAGCCATTTTATTTATATTATAACCTTATTATATATAATATTATAAACGCGAAAGTCTTCTTTGCATGATACGATGTTTATAAGTATTTAACGTAAAAACTACTGAACGAATCTGAATGAAATTTGGCGTAGAGATAGATTTATAGAGGACACACAACAAGTCTAGATTTAACCATTGAGTCAGGTTTTAAATTTGGAATCTTATTGTCATCTACCTTTAATTTGAATTTTACAAAATTTAGCTCAATGGTTTAGACTTAAACTAAATAAAAACCTTATTTTGTAATAAGGCCGATAGGGCTTTTACCCTGTCACTACGGGTGAAGACGGCGGTCTAAGTTAGTGTTTAATGTGTATGTTTGTACATATAATTTGCTATTTTGTTAGGCCAGAATATTTAAGTTTGTATTTTATAAATCCTTTGGGTTAACTGTGAGGATTGCTTCTAGACAGGAGGTGCTTTAAAATAATTATAAAACTTAATAGATTTCTTTTAGATTGGAATTAAAAAATAGTTAAAGTATTTTTAAAATGAACTTGTTTCTATCCAGTATTTTCTCTTGTATGTATTTCACACACAGCATATGTAGCTACTTAAAGAAAGAAAAAAAGAAAGAAAAACCATTTATTTTCGCGCAGAACACACGTGAACTTAAAAATAACAACAAAACATTAATATGTATAGAAAGCGAAAGGTAATCTTTACAGGAAAAAAACAAAAACTTAAAATACTAGGTCTTAAATCAAAAACTGTCGTGTTAAATCAAAATCAAAAAATGTCGTGGTGGCCCGGAGGTTAACGAGCCCGCTTCTCATGCATGAGGGTGCGGGTTCGAAACCTGGCAAGTACCAATGTGACTTTTTCCGAGTTATATGTACTTTCTATGTTTATTTAGACACCACTGACATACGGTGAAGGTAAACATCGTGAGGAAATCTGGACTTATAATTTCAAATTATAAGTTTGAAATCGCCAATCCGCATTGAGCAAACGTGGTGATAAATGCTCTAATCTTCTCCGTGTGAGAAGAGGCCTTTGCTCAGCAGTGGCCACTTATAGGCTGATGATAATGAATCAAAAACAAGTTCTACTTAAATAACTTTTTTTAAAACAGAATTGAACTAACAAAGTAGCATTTTATATTATTATAATCGTCCTGTAAAAATATTAATTCGTCCGTTTTGAATCGAAATTTCTAGATTATAAGGTATTTTAGGTTTTTTTAAATATTATATTATCAGGGCCGGGCCTAGTAAAAAAGTCTTACAATCAGAAATTTGACAAAAAAAGCCCGCGGTTTTTATCCAGTAAGGCGCCATTTTTATTTCTTGCGCCATTTTCAAATGATATGACCGGCACTGTAAATAAATAAATAATATCAATTATTTATAAAATTTAAATTATAATTGTGATTTCTTGACTGCTGACTCCTAGACTTATAATTGTTTCACGCCAGTTTTTCGCCGAGTTAGGCGCCCATTTATCTCTTAATCGGTTCCATTTTCTTATTATAATAATTAATTTAATATTTGTACATTCTAAGAAGTGACCAGATATTGCATTTATAGGATAAAGATTATTGTAGTCTAATCTCAAGTAAGGTAAGAATAATAATCTCATTTTTTTTTTATTAAAAAAAAAAACGTCAATATAAGACTGTTCGTGTATACTTATTTTAAGTTTTTATATACAGATTTTTCACTGCGAAGTTGTACTGCGTTTTTTGTAATTATTGAGGGGGTAATTTGGTTTTTTGCTCGCCAGATGTCGCTGATGTAGCGTAAGGTCTAGTGGCCCCATCAGTGTTACTATTAAGAATTATTTGTTCAGTGTTTTAACACTACATGAACCATTTTTACTATTTGTTCAGTCGTTTTTAACTTTAAATCAGATCTCTAGGTACACCATTAATGACATTTGAAACAATGATTTTATTTTTGCAAATCTATCTATACTAATATTCTAAAGAGGTAAAATTTGTAAGTTTGTATGTAGACGGTAATCTGTGGAACCGCTGGTCGGATTGCCAAAATTCTTTCACTGATAGATAGCTACATTGTTCCTGAGTGCTATAGGATATAAAACATCACGCTACGATCAAATGGAGCTAAACAGCGGGTGGAACCGCGCGAGAATAGCTAGTAGGTTAAAACAGGTTTTACACGTCAATATTATATGTAAAAAACTAGTTGAAGCCAGTATTTCGTATCTGACTTCTCTAAGAAGAAATGCCGAAACAAACTCAGAGAAATTTTGGTGAGCAAAAAACCATTAGCCCCCACTTTCTTTTGTTATACTTTTATGGAGTAGTCAATCGATGTTTTTCGAGGTTTTTTAGCAATTTCTAGACTAGATTTGTAATCTGTATTTCTGGTTGGAATTCTGGTAAATTGTGAATTAGGTCAAGAATTGTAACATAAAAAAATAATGCCAAGTAAAAAGAAATTGTAAGAAAAAATTAAATAAATATATTTTCTTGCAATTAAATTAATGTGGTAAGGCGTAGGAATTACTAATTAATTATGTCATTTTGATCTGTGTTTAGGATTTTAAAGCTAGATTTTAACGCGTTCCTCTTGCTGGGTATCTGATACCCGACGGAATATAAAACCTTAAATGCTTATATACATACGTCTCCATGTATTCATACATATAAGTATTTCGTGTCGGGTATCTCACACCCGGCAACAGGAGCTCATGTTAAGTGTTAAGATAAGTTTAACCTGTGTAGCTTTTTATATATTTCTAGTTTATTGTGACAGTTAAAAACTGTAGTTAGTTTTTTAAGCTTAGTGCCAGCTCTATGTAGTCTATGTAGTTTTTATACATAAAATATAAACTTTGTAAGATCTCTTAGTAAAAACTTTTTTAAACAGCATAGGTTTTAGTAATCTGTCTCTTTTCAATGTACCCATTTTTTTTCTAATTTTCCTAGTGTTTTAACTGTTTATTCCGAATACAACTTTATTCTTATGGAAATAGAGTTGAGATTAATCTAAACACGTGTAAAAAATAAAATTTGAACATTTCTTTTTTCGTGTAAGTACTTTTAATATTTATTTATTTTTCAAAATGTAATTTAGTATAAAGGCCTAATTGCTATTGTGTTTCGTCAATTTGTGTACTGCAAGAACATTATGATATTTAATAAAAATAAAAATGTGTACTACAATAATGAAGTTATCCTTCCATTTATGGATTTCCCTTAACATATAACATAACAAAAAAGTAGATAGATTACTAGTATTTTTTTATGAAAATTGATTTTTTTTATGGGTTAATTCGGCAAACGAGCCGACGGATTGCCTGGGCCTCGAGTCTGCTATTACAATAGTGTCAGAATAGTAGATCAATCGTTTCAAAATTGTTGAT